CGATTTACACCTTCAGGTCACTTCCCCCCCCCTTACCTCAAGAAGTCATAGCGTAGAAATACACCTTCAGGTCACCCATCAAGTCCGGTGGTAAGGTTTCATCATAACCAACAAAACGAACCCAAACTCGGCACACCCAGTTCCACTAGTCTAGGAGTTCCTGTTGTAATCACCAAATTACACCTTCAGGTCACTCCATCAAGTCCGCAGGTAGGTAAGGTCTTATTATAACTGACAAAACCAGTTCAAAGTCCAGAGCTAACATCTCACTACCAGTAGAGGGCTTCCAGTGCCAAGCAGTCTTTGGAGCAGGTATTCATATTTCGTATCGAAGTATATGTCTGAGGTAGGTATAAGAAATGAAAAACAAATTCAATCTTTCAAATTATCGAAATAATTTCATTTGACTACGATTCCCACAGCCAACCGTGCGTACACTAGTGTATGTGTGACTTTTGTCAATGTAGTAGTGCGATTCTATACCTATCCATTTTGTAAACGCGTCCTTAATGACTAGTTTTTTGAACATTTTTAATTTCGTTTTTCAGTTGAAAATTTGCAAAAAATATTTTCACGGTAAAATATTAGCATCTTCGGTAGTAGGTATGAAAAACATAAAATTCTGAGTAACCACTTATTTTATATTGTTGTGTTTAAAGTAGATTTCAATAAAAATAATTAATTGTTGCATATTTTTATATGATTAGGTGACAACCGAGCACACAGTCCACCTGATGGTAAGTGGCTAAGTGGTTGCTGTGGCCCATAGACATCTACATCTATCCTCGATTACGAATCAAAATGCAGATGCGTGGTCACCCGTGAGGACTAAAATGGAATGCCTCGTTTCAAGTAAAAAAAGGTCTCCAGTTCTCTACACTCACCATACGAAATACAGCAGTATTAATATACTATTTTACGCCGGTATTCTGCGAGAGCGTGGTCCTTCCCCAGTCGAGCCGACCCATTCGTGCTACAACTATACTACTAATATAGCTGCAGCATGGCTCTACCACGTATAAATATGGCCTTATGTATGTACATAAGGCCACAAAATTGGCCCCAAAGGACCGATCAATTCATTTGGGTATCTTCGGTTTACATATTCCCGCACAGGTACCGCATAATACGCAGGACTGCCATCATTTTGGGACCAGTGTGATTTTTATTATAATTTAATTGAATGGTCAGTACAATAAACTAATAATTGGGTATTATTTTTTCCTACTCCTCTATTTATGTTTTTGTGGTCTCAAAAAATTCATAATAGTAAAGCATGTGTTTTGATATAAGACAGCCGATTCGTTTAATAACAATAATTAGCAATATTCAACATTGCATTTATTTAGTTTTAAAAAATTTTAACATATTATTATACCGGTCAAACCATATGTATTTTTAAATAAATTGACAATGCATATGAATTACTGTTCTAGGCGCAAACATAAGGGTTATAAGTAAAAGCTAGTGATTTTATAAAATTTGCGGCAGGTAACGCCATTTCAAATAATGGGCCATATATTCCATGTCCACGTGCAAGTTGTTCGGGTGTTTCTTCAGATTTATTTTGTCTATGAGCAATGTCTACTGTATCTTCTCTTAGCAATAATATAATTAAAGTTGATTTACAATGGCTTATTGCTGCCGCTAGATGCAATGGTGTTTGTTCTGTAACAAATGATATGAATTTTAAAATAAACTAATGACATATTAGGAATGTGCCATGGACTCTCTCTGAAAATCAGGCTCATTTGAACACAGTGCACACATCTCATGGTGCACTGTGTGTTGATATCAAAACTGAGAGATCAGAGACAAAAACACGTCGTATACTATTACTAATATATTAAAAAAATAGCAAAGAAGCTTTGCCAATAATTAAGAACACTTCAAAAATCTACTTAAAGAACTAACTACACTACACCATACTAAAATTTACTAAAATATTTACTACAATGTCAACTGTCCAAATGGCGTCAACAAAGCATCGCCCTTTTGACCCTTTATTATTTGATTGACCGATGAAGAGCTATATATCACGCCAAGTCATCTATGCAAACAAGGCTGTTTTTGAGTTATAAGAAAGTGACCATATTGCCTTTACGTACAAATATATATATATATATATATATATATATATATATATATATATATATATATATACTTAGTCGGGTCAAGTTCTGTCAAAACCTTATTATTTAAAAAAAAATGAATACTGGCTAGATGAACTTCACCAATTTTAAAAATATAATGTTAACGCTTGCCGAAAATAAAACATTTTCATTCATTTTCAAATATGGAGTGGTCAAAGAAAGAAGATAGAGTAGCAGTAATCGCGTTGCGCCGCTGTGGTTACGCGCCAAAAGAGATTTTCAATATTCTACAAAAATTGAAAATAACCATACGATTTGTTTATCAAATGATTCACTGAAGATTCAAGGTTCCAAGATCTAAGGAGAACCGGCCGACCTCGTACAATTAGGACACCCGCGATCATCAAAGCAGTGAAGACGCGAATCCAACGAAATCTTCTTCGTAAACAAAAAATCTTAGCTCTTCAGATGGGCCTAAGCAGAACCACGGTCAAAAGAGTGATCAACGAAGACCTAGGACTACGAGCTTATCGTAAGAAGACTGGATATTTTTTGAACGAGCGTTTAAAAAAAATATGGCTGGATAGATCCCGCGCTTTACGGTTCGTTACGGCGGTTCACGGGAAAAAATACCGCGAAATTTCGTTTTCGGATGAAATTTTTAAATTCAAAAACATTTTTAAAATCGAAGAAAGTTACAATAAACAAAATGATAAGGTTGATTAAGGTTCCGAGGGTTCAACGAGCACATTATCCTTAGTCACTCATGGTTTGGTTTGGAGTCTCATATTCAGGCTTAACTGAGGTGTTTTTCTGTGAAAAGGTGTAAAAACCAGTGCCGAGGTGTACCAAAATACCGTCCTAACAAACATAGTGGAATCTCTTTCTCAAACAATGTTCAAAAACAGACATTGGATATTCCAACAGGACTCTGCACCAGCTCATAGGGCACTAAGCACGCAAAACTGGTTGACCGCCCATGAAATTGACTTTATCGGACAAGAAGACTGCCCGTCTTCTAGTCCAGATTTAAGCCCACTGGATTATAAGACATGGCAAAATTTGGAGGACAAAGTCTGCGCCGAACCTCATCAGAATTTGGAATCTCTCCGAGTATTGTTGGCTAAAGCAGCGGCACACACAGCGACACAGGCTAATGACTTGGAACAGCATTAACAGTACGAGTGTTAATAGACTCTGTGCTTATCGTCCCGCCCACCTATTGTGGTGAGTATCGGCAAATTTTGCAAGCGAAGCATGCACGTTTCATCATCATCATCATTATCATTACAGCCCTTCACAAGTTTACCACCGCTGAAGATATCTTATTACACAGAAAAAATTCGAGCATTGCCCGCTCCATTGTTTTCCGATCAACCTTGAGCTTCCTTAAACAGCTTGTAGTTAAATGCCACGTTTCAGATCTGAGATGTGTCGTAATCTCTCGAACACTGCCCGGGACACTATTGAGGTCATTCAGTTCAGTGCTGAGGCCTTCCAGCGAGTCTGCCATATAGAATAGCGGTCACGAAAGTACACCTTCAGGTCACGCCATCAAGTCCGGTGGTAAGGTTTCATCATAACCAACAAAACGAACCCAAACTCGGCACACCCAGTTCCACTAGTCTAGGAGTTACTGTTGTAATCACCAAATTACACCTTCAGGTCACTCCATCAAGTCCGCAGGTAGGTAAGGTCTTATTATAACTGACAAAACCAGTTCAAAGTCCAGAGCTAACATCTCACTACCAGTAGAGGGCTTCCAGTGCCAAGCAGTCTTTGGAGCAGGTATTCATATTTCGTATCGAAGTATATGTCTGAGGTAGGTATAAGAAATGAAAAACAAATTCAATCTTTCAAATTATCGAAATAATTTCATTTGACTACGATTCCCACAGCCAACCGTGCGTACACTAGTGTGTGTGTGACTTTTGTCAATGTAGTAGTGCGATTCTATACCTATCCATTTTGTAAACGCGTCCTTAATGACTAGTTTTTTGAACATTTTTAATTTCGTTTTTCAGTTGAAAATTTGCAAAAATATTTTCACGGTAAAATATTAGCATGTTCGGTAGTAGGTATGAAAAACATAAAATTCTGAGTAACCACTTATTTTATATTGTTGTGTTTAAAGTAGATTTCAATAAAAATAATTAATTGTTGCATATTTTTATATGATTGGGTGACAACCGAGCACACAGTCCACCTGATGGTAAGTGGCTAAGTGGTTGCTGTGGCCCATAGACATCTACATCTATCCTTGATTACGAATCAAAATGCAGATGCGTGGTCACCCGTGAGGACTAAAATGGAATGCCTCGTTTCAAGTAAAAAAAGGTCTCCAGTTCTCTACACTCACCATACGAAATACAGCAGTATTAATATACTATTTTACGCCGGTATTCTGCGAGAGCGTGGTCCTTCCCCAGTCGAGCCGACCCATTCGTGCTACAACTATACTACTAATATAGCTGCAGCATGGCTCTACCACGTATAAATATGGCCTTATGTATGTACATAAGGCCACAAAATTGGCCCCAAAGGACCGATCAATTCATTTGGGTATCTTCGGTTTACATATTCCCGCACAGGTACCGCATAATACGCAGGACTGCCATCATTTTGGGACCAGTGTGATTTTTATTATAATTTAATTGAATGGTCAGTACAATAAACTAATAATTGGGTATTATTTTTTCCTACTCCTCTATTTATGTTTTTGTGGTCTCAAAAAATTCATAATAGTAAAGCATGTGTTTTGATATAAGACAGCCGATTCAATTAATAACAATAATTAGCAATATTCAACATTGCATTTATTTAGTTTTAAAAAATTTTAACATATTATTATACCGGTCAAACCATATGTATTTTTAAATAAATTGACAATGCATATGAATTACTGTTCTAGGCGCAAACATAAGGGTTATAAGTAAAAGCTAGTGATTTTATAAAATTTGCGGCAGGTAACGCCATTTCAAATAATGGGCCATATATTCCATGTCCACGTGCAAGTTGTTCGGGTGTTTCTTCAGATTTATTTTGTCTATGAGCAATGTCTACTGTATCTTCTCTTAGCAATAATATAATTAAAGTTGATTTACAATGGCTTATTGCTGCCGCTAGATGCAATGGTGTTTGTTCTGTAACAAATGATGTGAATTTTAAAATAAACTAATGACATATTAGGAATGTGCCATGGACTCTCTCTGAAAATCAGGCTCATTTGAACACAGTGCACACATCTCATGGTGCACTGTGTGTTGATATCAAAACTGAGAGATCAGAGACAAAAACACGTCGTATACTATTACTAATATATTAAAAAAATAGCAAAGAAGCTTTGCCAATAATTAAGAACACTTCAAAAATCTACTTAAAGAACTAACTACACTACACCATACTAAAATTTACTAAAATATTTACTACAATGTCAACTGTCCAAATGGCGTCAACAAAGCATCGCCCTTTTGACCCTTTATTATTTGATTGACCGATGAAGAGCTATATATCACGCCAAGTCATCTATGCAAACAAGGCTGTTTTTGAGTTATAAGAAAGTGACCATATTGCCTTTACGTACTATATATATATATATATATATATATATATATATATATATATATACTTAGTCGGGTCAAGTTCTGTCAAAACCTTATTATTTAAAAAAAAAATGAATACTGGCTAGATGAACTTCACCAATTTTAAAAATATAATGTTAACGCTTGCCGAAAATAAAACATTAATTTTCATTCATTTTCAAATATGGAGTGGTCAAAGAAAGAAGATAGAGTAGCAGTAATCGCGTTGCACCGCTGTGGTTACGCGCCAAAAGAGATTTTCAATATTCTACAAAAATTGAAAATAACCATACGATTTGTTTATCAAATGATTCACTGAAGATTCAAGGTTCCAAGATCTAAGGAGAACCGGCCGACCTCGTACAATTAGGACACCCGCGATCATCAAAGCAGTGAAGACGCGAATCCAACGAAATCTTCTTCGTAAACAAAAAATCTTAGCTCTTCAGATGGGCCTAAGCAGAACCACGGTCAAAAGAGTGATCAACGAAGACCTAGGACTACGAGCTTATCGTAAGAAGACTGGATATTTTTTGAACGAGCGTTTAAAAAAAATATGGCTGGATAGATCCTGCGCTTTACGGTTCGTTACGGCGGTTCACGGGAAAAAATACCGCGAAATTTCGTTTTCGGATGAAATTTTTAAATTCAAAAACATTTTTAAAATCGAAGAAAGTTACAATAAACAAAATGATAAGGTTGATTAAGGTTCCGAGGGTTCAACGAGCACATTATCCTTAGTCACTCATGGTTTGGTTTGGAGTCTCATATTCAGGCTTAACTGAGGTGTTTTTCTGTGAAAAGGTGTAAAAACCAGTGCCGAGGTGTACCAAAATACCGTCCTAACAAACATAGTGGAATCTCTTTCTCAAACAATGTTCAAAAACAGACATTGGATATTCCAACAGGACTCTGCACCAGCTCATAGGGCACTAAGCACGCAAAACTGGTTGACCGCCCATGAAATTGACTTTATCGGACAAGAAGACTGCCCGTCTTCTAGTCCAGATTTAAGCCCACTGGATTATAAGACATGGCAAAATTTGGAGGACAAAGTCTGCGCCGAACCTCATCAGAATTTGGAATCTCTCCGAGTATTGTTGGCTAAAGCAGCGGCACACACAGCGACACAGGCTAATGACTTGGAACAGCATTAACAGTACGAGTGTTAATAGACTCTGTGCTTATCGTCCCGCCCACCTATTGTGGTGAGTATCGGCAAATTTTGCAAGCGAAGCATGCACGTTTCATCATCATCATCATTATCATTACAGCCCTTCACAAGTTTACCACCGCTGAAGATATCTTATTACACAGAAAAAATTCGAGCATTGCCCGCTCCATTGTTTTCCGATCAACCTTGAGCTTCCTTAAACAGCTTGTAGTTAAATGCCACGTTTCAGATCTGAGATGTGTCGTAATCTCTCGAACACTGCCCGGGACACTATTGAGGTCATTCAGTTCAGTGCTGAGGCCTTCCAGCGAGTCTGCCATATAGAATAGCGGTCACGAAAGTACACCTTCAGGTCACGCCATCAAGTCCGGTGGTAAGGTTTCATCATAACCAACAAAACGAACCCAAACTCGGCACACCCAGTTCCACTAGTCTAGGAGTTACTGTTGTAATCACCAAATTACACCTTCAGGTCACTCCATCAAGTCCGCAGGTAGGTAAGGTCTTATTATAACTGACAAAACCAGTTCAAAGTCCAGAGCTAACATCTCACTACCAGTAGAGGGCTTCCAGTGCCAAGCAGTCTTTGGAGCAGGTATTCATATTTCGTATCGAAGTATATGTCTGAGGTAGGTATAAGAAATGAAAAACAAATTCAATCTTTCAAATTATCGAAATAATTTCATTTGACTACGATTCCCACAGCCAACCGTGCGTACACTAGTGTGTGTGTGACTTTTGTCAATGTAGTAGTGCGATTCTATACCTATCCATTTTGTAAACGCGTCCTTAATGACTAGTTTTTTGAACATTTTTAATTTCGTTTTTCAGTTGAAAATTTGCAAAAATATTTTCACGGTAAAATATTAGCATGTTCGGTAGTAGGTATGAAAAACATAAAATTCTGAGTAACCACTTATTTTATATTGTTGTGTTTAAAGTAGATTTCAATAAAAATAATTCATTGTTGCATATTTTTATATGATTGGGTGACAACCGAGCACACAGTCCACCTGATGGTAAGTGGCTAAGTGGTTGCTGTGGCCCATAGACATCTACATCTATCCTTGATTACGAATCAAAATGCAGATGCGTGGTCACCCGTGAGGACTAAAATGGAATGCCTCGTTTCAAGTAAAAAAAGGTCTCCAGTTCTCTACACTCACCATACGAAATACAGCAGTATTAATATACTATTTTACGCCGGTATTCTGCGAGAGCGTGGTCCTTCCCCAGTCGAGCCGACCCATTCGTGCTACAACTATACTACTAATATAGCTGCAGCATGGCTCTACCACGTATAAATATGGCCTTATGTATGTACATAAGGCCACAAAATTGGCCCCAAAGGACCGATCAATTCATTTGGGTATCTTCGGTTTACATATTCCCGCACAGGTACCGCATAATACGCAGGACTGCCATCATTTTGGGACCAGTGTGATTTTTATTATAATTTAATTGAATGGTCAGTACAATAAACTAATAATTGGGTATTATTTTTTCCTACTCCTCTATTTATGTTTTTGTGGTCTCAAAAAATTCATAATAGTAAAGCATGTGTTTTGATATAAGACAGCCGATTCAATTAATAACAATAATTAGCAATATTCAACATTGCATTTATTTAGTTTTAAAAAATTTTAACATATTATTATACCGGTCAAACCATATGTATTTTTAAATAAATTGACAATGCATATGAATTACTGTTCTAGGCGCAAACATAAGGGTTATAAGTAAAAGCTAGTGATTTTATAAAATTTGCGGCAGGTAACGCCATTTCAAATAATGGGCCATATATTCCATGTCCACGTGCAAGTTGTTCGGGTGTTTCTTCAGATTTATTTTGTCTATGAGCAATGTCTACTGTATCTTCTCTTAGCAATAATATAATTAAAGTTGATTTACAATGGCTTATTGCTGCCGCTAGATGCAATGGTGTTTGTTCTGTAACAAATGATGTGAATTTTAAAATAAACTAATGACATATTAGGAATGTGCCATGGACTCTCTCTGAAAATCAGGCTCATTTGAACACAGTGCACACATCTCATGGTGCACTGTGTGTTGATATCAAAACTGAGAGATCAGAGACAAAAACACGTCGTATACTATTACTAATATATTAAAAAAATAGCAAAGAAGCTTTGCCAATAATTAAGAACACTTCAAAAATCTACTTAAAGAACTAACTACACTACACCATACTAAAATTTACTAAAATATTTACTACAATGTCAACTGTCCAAATGGCGTCAACAAAGCATCGCCCTTTTGACCCTTTATTATTTGATTGACCGATGAAGAGCTATATATCACGCCAAGTCATCTATGCAAACAAGGCTGTTTTTGAGTTATAAGAAAGTGACCATATTGCCTTTACGTACATATATATATATATATATATATATATATATATATATATATATATATATATATATATATATATATATATATATATATACTTAGTCGGGTCAAGTTCTGTCAAAACCTTATTATTTAAAAAAAATGAATACTGGCTAGATGAACTTCACCAATTTTAAAAATATAATGTTAACGCTTGCCGAAAATAAAACATTAATTTTCATTCATTTTCAAATATGGAGTGGTCAAAGAAAGAAGACAGAGTAGCAGTAATCGCGTTGCGCCGCTGTGGTTACGCGCCAAAAGAGATTTTCAATATTCTACAAAAATTGAAAATAACCATACGATTTGTTTATCAAATGATTCACTGAAGATTCAAGGTTCCAAGATCTAAGGAGAACCGGCCGACCTCGTACAATTAGGACACCCGCGATCATCAAAGCAGTGAAGACGCGAATCCAACGAAATCTTCTTCGTAAACAAAAAAATCTTAGCTCTTCAGATGGGCCTAAGCAGAACCACGGTCAAAAGAGTGATCAACGAAGACCTAGGACTACGAGCTTATCGTAAGAAGACTGGATATTTTTTGAACGAGCGTTTAAAAAAAATATGGCTGGATAGATCCCGCGCTTTACGGTTCGTTACGGCGGTTCACGGGAAAAAATACCGCGAAATTTCGTTTTCGGATGAAATTTTTAAATTCAAAAACATTTTTAAAATCGAAGAAAGTTACAATAAACAAAATGATAAGGTTGATTAAGGTTCCGAGGGTTCAACGAGCACATTATCCTTAGTCACTCATGGTTTGGTTTGGAGTCTCATATTCAGGCTTAACTGAGGTGTTTTTCTGTGAAAAGGTGTAAAAACCAGTGCCGAGGTGTACCAAAATACCGTCCTAACAAACATAGTGGAATCTCTTTCTCAAACAATGTTCAAAAACAGACATTGGATATTCCAACAGGACTCTGCACCAGCTCATAGGGCACTAAGCACGCAAAACTGGTTGACCGCCCATGAAATTGACTTTATCGGACAAGAAGACTGCCCGTCTTCTAGTCCAGATTTAAGCCCACTGGATTATAAGACATGGCAAAATTTGGAGGACAAAGTCTGCGCCGAACCTCATCAGAATTTGGAATCTCTCCGAGTATTGTTGGCTAAAGCAGCGGCACACACAGCGACACAGGCTAATGACTTGGAACAGCATTAACAGTACGAGTGTTAATAGACTCTGTGCTTATCGTCCCGCCCACCTATTGTGGTGAGTATCGGCAAATTTTGCAAGCGAAGCATGCACGTTTCATCATCATCATCATTATCATTACAGCCCTTCACAAGTTTACCACCGCTGAAGATATCTTATTACACAGAAAAAATTCGAGCATTGCCCGCTCCATTGTTTTCCGATCAACCGTGAGCTTCCTTAAACAGCTTGTAGTTAAATGCCACGTTTCAGATCTGAGATGTGTCGTAATCTCTCGAACACTGCCCGGGACACTATTGAGGTCATTCAGTTCAGTGCTGAGGCCTTCCAGCGAGTCTGCCATATAGACTGTGTTGTCAGCAAATCGAAGCTGAGTAATGTACTCGCTATTAACATTATCTTATCCTTTGCAGTCCAGTAGCTTGAAAACGTGTTCGGTATAGTGTCGAATGGGACTTGATCTTGAATCGTTACTCACACTTAAGTGTGGCTCCGTGATGTAAATAGCTGTCCGTAGAACCTCTTAATCTCCCTTATAAGCACAGCTGTCCCGAAAACGATGCTATCACATTCGGTCTTCAACTTCGACAGTTGGCTCTTTTCGACAGATAGATTTCTGGTAAAGCCTTAGACTCGCTCGATCCTTTCTTCAATACGAGCTGTATTGAAGTTGCGTAAGCCTAGTCTAGCTGCATGCATTTGGAAATTTGTCTGTACGGACTTGAGATTAAGTGTGATCGGAGAGTGTTTAAGTTCCTCTGCGACGAGTCTAGCAAAACTTAGCTCAGATTGCATGGACAGTTTCTACTAGCTTGTCATTCGTATCGTCCACTATATTGCAGTCTTCTAACCACTGAAAACGATTTTGTAACTCAAGCTGAAGGTTTTCGGGGCTTTGAATTAAACACGCGGGGGGTGGGGCGTTGAATTCATTAGACGTGACTTCCCCAACTTAACATTTAGGTTCAGTGTGCCTCTCCATTCGGTTGCCATCTAATCGTCAATCGTCATGATGAAGTCGTTCCCATTTTAAGTAGAACCGTCGGAACTTGACCAGGTCCACTTTAGGTGGGACCCGCTTCTGGAAGAAAGAGTTCATCATAAAAAGTCCCTCTTTCTCCATGAAATCGGCCAACTGTTGTTCCTATTCCGAATTTCCCTGCCTTCAGCTCACCGTTCTCTATTGTGTTTTAGAGGAATGCATGGCTCTAGATATATCCTCATACATTTCCTTCACCTCCTCATCGGGATGTGCCAAGGTTGGTGCGTAAACCTGTATGACCTTCGGCGTATACCGTATGGTGATTCTGAGTAGAAGGAACGCAACCCTCGTCGACACACACCCAAACTTTAACAACGTTGTTAATGAGACACTTGTGGATGATAAATCCGACACTTCCTTGGAACAAATGGTCACCCTCCCGGTGATAGAGCAAGTTGCTGAATTCGAGGATTACCGTGTCCTCCCCCTCATTGGACCTCGGATAATCCTATAATATGCCAGTGCAACTTGTCTATCTCTTCTTCCAGCTCCAGGATTCTTGTCAGTCCTCAGGGTGCGATTCATTATATGTCATTATATGTAACAACTTGAGTCTTAGGTGGCAACCGAGCCTCCACCGGAGATTCTTAGCACCCCCTGTCCCGTTGTTACCATAGTCGCCACCATAGTCAGGCACCGCGGGACCGCCGGGGACTGGGGAAACTTTCTTTGTACCTTTCGTCATGGGGGATATGTTGCCATAGTTGCCACGCTTGGCAAACGGATTGGCAATTGCAGTTCTTTAGTAAATTTGATGTTTTTAGAAAGATGCTGCTGCCCATCCCCTGGTTTGTTTCTCACTGTCGCCTCTTACGACACCCACGGGACGATATGGGGTAGTGGATATTTTTACACCTCTACTACACGGTCACATTTACCTACATGTTATTTAAATATTCAACTTCTGCAGTGCCTGCACTGACTGATAAGAAGAAGGCAGTAGAAGCTCAATTTATCGATTAATCTTAAATTGTTATTCCTTACCCCCATCAGAAAGAGCTGCGGGATCTGCACCTGCCGCTAATAGTCTTGCAGCCGCAGTGTAATTGTTCCAGTTACATGCAGAATGCAATGGAGTCCAACCTAATTCAGTTTTTGTTGTAACATTTGCACCAGCACTTAATAAATATGAAATGCAAGCTACGTGGTTTCCGTAAGCAGCTCGATGAAGTGGAGTATATCCATCAGAGTCTCTTGCATGTACAAGGCCTGGTTGACTTGTTAAAAGTTCTTTTAACTCTTCTAATTCACCATTTTCAGCTGCCCACAACACATGATCTATTGGGTTGGCTGTAAAATGTAACCAAAAAATATTAAGATCACAATACAAAATGTTATTCATCTTCATTAGCCCTCGTTAAAATCTGGAACCCTGATTGTAGGGATTTGCCTTCCTTGACACGCTTGGCAGGCAGGTTGACGTCCGCAGTACCAGTTTCGCACATTTGACAGTTCTTCCCGTCGCCATTCAGGGTAGTTCAAGCGTGGCGTAAACGAGATGATTCTACAGTCATCTATTAGAAGCATTATGATTATTATTTTTACTATCTAAAATAATAATAATAGCACATAATTTTACTTGTGGGTTACATGTTAAGTACTCCTAGTATTAATCAATTGTCTTATATATATATTGTACATCTTAATATATATAAATTACGTGTCACGTTGTTTGTCCGCGATGGACTCCTAAACTACTTATCCGATTTTAATCAAATTTGCACACCGTGTGCAGTTTGGTTCAACTTGAGAGATAGGATAGTTTTTTCGCCCATGAGTGACCCACAATTTTTTTGCGAATTTAAGGATTTTTAATTGAACATGACAAAGGGTCCTCTAAAAGGGCAGAACAACGTCTACCTGGCAAGCTAGTACATAATATAATTGCATTAACCCTTAAGTGCATATTGTATCAAAAATGATACGATGAGATTATCGATTCATAATTTTGTTAAACTACGTACACACAACTACGCTGTATGTTAAATATGTCCTATGCCTAATCATCTTTTAGAATGTTTAAGTAATCGATGACCATTTCCTAAATAATTTGGCGGTAACTATGAAAACTTTTTTCCTGTCTGTCATAACCTTTTTCGTGGGATTATAAATTTTTATTGATTTATTTTGGAGTGATTTTAACACAAAAGCTGACCCGGAAAAATATTAAAAATACAGGTTAGGGTATTGTTTCTTTGTTAAACACATATTTCAAGTGAATTTTACTGGCGTTTGATAAAAAAAATGATAATTTTAGTTGTATCAAAAATGATACATTATGCAGTTAGTAGGTCCCGTTTGTACATTTTCGCTACTATAGTAGGCTTGTATGATATGTGATTGTTATATGTTTTTCCTCACTTTTGGAGCATGGAAAAAAGAAAAATAAAAGATAATGAGATTGAAGACCTTTTAGCAATATTGGAAGGTGGATTTTTATCGGAGGAGAAAGCAGAGTCTGATGATTATGAATTAGATCATCACCCAAATATTGATGAAATTCGTGCTGCTTTAGAAAATCACGGGGAAGAACAAATGGGTTACGGTGATTTCCATAAGCCTCAAATCCGGGACGAAGGTGTACCACCTCTTGTAAATGACGAAAATTATTTGCGAAATGATGATAATCCTCCCTTAGTGAATGAAGGTAGTGGTTTTGCACAAAATATTCCCAACAGGTGTCATATTACGATTGAAAATGCTAGACTCAAATGATGGAAACATTCCTCAGAGTTTTGGGAAGATAGCATTCGTTTTCAGAACGAGACAAAATATTCTCTCTAAGTTATAGCCCTAGAAAGTCCATATCAATTTTTCAGTTATTTTTTACTCCTGATTTTTTAGATAAGATTGTGAAAGGTCTACTCGATATTCAATCCAAAAAAATCCCGACCGACCAGATCCAATCACAAAATCAAAGTTACAATAGTACTTGATGGGAATTAATATCTATGTCAGTTTTTCATCATCCAAATATAGGAGCTTACTGGAATAAAAAATACGGAATTATGCCAATTATACAGAGTATGACATTATATAGATTTGAAAAAATTTGATATATATTACATTTTAACGACAACTTCAAACATCTGCCTATAGACAACCCCAACTACGATAAACTACACAAGCTGCGACCTGAGGTAGAACATCTGAATGAGAGTTTCCAGCATTCATATAGACCAAAGGCTTTCCACAGATGAACACATAAAAATGTGTGCAACGAAAATGGGCCACTTCCTAAAACAATACCTCCCAAATAAACCTCACAAATGGGGGTTCAAATTTTATATGCTATGTTCACTGCTAGGGTATGCATACAAAATTATAATTTATACAGGAAAAGATAATGAACCTATGATGGAAAACGAACCATATCTGGGAGTGGTTGGGAACACTGTTGTAAAATTGTTGAGGATTATCCCACGCAAAGTAAACCACATTGTTTACTTTCACAACTTCCACACCTCTTTATCTCATATGTATTACTTAGCTAAGAAAGGGATATTATGTCTGGGAACTATTCAACAAAATCGGTTAGGTAGGAAAGTTACTTAACTTACCGTACAAAAAATGACGTTAATGCATAATGTATCAAAAATGATACAAACTTTTTTTTATTAAAATTACTTTAAAAAATGAAAATAATTTTTTTTCTTTATTTTTCCCAAATTCAAGACCTAAACATCTAAATTATATGTTTAAATTAGTTAAAACAAAAAGTTCATGCACTTAAGGGTTAATGTGTAACTATTTTATGTCCCAATAAAAATTAAAAATAAATAGGAGACAGTTATAAATGTAGTAATATGGATATTCTGTCACAAATCAGCAATTACTGCAACCACGGCTGGGTTTAGAACTCACAAACTAGGTGTAAGTGGAATCGAGTGTACATTCTTAGGCCAGTATTCAGATCTCAAGCCAAGTCTAACAAAATCCCGAAAAGAAAGTTTTCAAGAAATACAAAATATCTGGATGTTCTGAACCCTGAAGAATACAGAATTTCAGATGGTTTGAAAACTAAGTAAGAAACTTGTTTTGCAACATTATTAGAAGATATAAATATATGAATACCTCCAAGATGGTCTTCTAGGCAGAATTTAGACAGCGATAACAATCAATGCTAGGAATATAAAGGACTAATCCATTGGAATACTGACCAATGATATGTCAGTACTATTGTCCAACGACAACGACAAGCAATTTCTTCCACTCAGGGCTAATTCCTCAAACAATATAATTAACTCTCTTCCCTTAAAATTTTCAACCAGTCAACTTTCTAAAATTTCCAATGTACTTACAGTCTGGCAGCTTAATTATACACAGTACTAAAAAACCATGCCCACTTAAAATATGACATGTGTACCTCTCATTATGACCATTCTTCCTAATTTTCTGGGAGATTTTTTTTTGATATCTTGGTCGATATCTATATAATAAACTTAACAAGGATCACAATCAAGATTTATTAAATACTTGTGATAATACCTAGCATAATTAAATGGATAATACGTATCATTATTAAAATATGTATTCCAAGCTTATATGTATTTTAACTATATATATATAAATATAAGTATTTGTCAACTGGGAGGCAGAACTGATAACTTGAAATAAGGGTGTCGCTCGTAGGCTGGTGCCTACTTATCTCTATCATATTACTTTGAGCCTATTTTGTGTCAAAAATTGAAATTAATTTAATGTGATGGTAAAATACAGTTTAATTTCCTGTTTTGTTTAAACATTGGGATTTCTTGCATGTGTAGACTGTTGTTAGCTGGAGTCATGGATTATTTAATCCATAACTAAATATATGATAACATATATTTATATGTTATCATATATTTAGTTGCTCACAGACTTTATAACTGTAAACATGGCAAGTATGAGAAAATCACTGTGTATTGATGAAAAAATGTTTCTAATACAGATTTTTCTTCGTTCCATTTAATGACTACTCTCTATAACGTGAAACTATGCACAGTCCCTTGAGTGTCGTTACAGTCCCTTGGTTTACACTGTAAATGATATTTTTTATAAAGAGAGAAATAATTTGAGAATGAGAAACATGACGTTTTTTTTTTGCCAAAAATGTATAATGAATTTACAAATATCACCATTAAATAGTTGCTATGTCTATTAAGTTTTTTATTAGATTTTTTGCTGTTAGTGCATTAAATTTATATATTTTTATTATTGAATAAAGCTATTTATATAGATTTTATAGAGTTTAATTAACTTATTTTTAATTCCCGATGTTTAAGGTGTATACAGCACCCATAGTAGGTATGTTATAGTAAGGCTACCTTCGGTTTTTTAATATTAATTTATGGTCCGATCTACGCAAAAAAAAATTAATATTCAATGAAATTATTTTTTGAATATTAATTTTGGGACATCAAACATCTCAGTCCGCCCGTGACCATGGGTGCTGTAAAACACCCGAAACATCGAAGATTAAAAATAAGTTTTATAATGTGATAAATTCTGTATAAATAGTTTTATTAAATGTGTAGTGTTCGCTTAAATTTAAGAAATTACTATATTTTTATTACATAACCAGTATAATTCAATAAATATTTCTGAAAGTTTTTTTTATTATTTCTTGGCTTTTCAAAGAATAAAAAATATTCCTATCTCTTCGCCATGTATCTTCAGTTAAGTCTTGAAAATGTAGCAGTAATGTGCTTATGCCAATCACTGGCTTTAAATGTGCCTGACTTAAACAGAATGAAACAATTCTTAATTAAATTTCTACTCTGAAAAATTCCAAAAGCACATAATAATCAAATACCAATCCACTACAAAAGAGTATGGTCTTTTGCCCAATCTGTCGTTTTTTCAATATGTAAAAGAGCTGTACCCAGGAGTAATGCCTTATTTGTTAACCTACACAAAATTAGTTAAATGCATGCAAATATAGAACAACATGGGCCACCGGCGGATCGAAATGGGGTGGCCATAATATGTTCTTCCATTCCTTCTGGCATTCTGCAAGGTTCGCTACTTGGCCCTCTGCTCTTTGTCATATTTATCAGTGTTATTGCTGAATGCTTCCAGAACTCCGAGTTTTAGCTTTTCACGGATGACATGAAAGTTTTTAGACTAGTCAACAATTCTTATGATTCTAATCTCCTACAAAACGATCTTATTAAGTTAATTATTGTAACCGTAACAAATTAGACTTGAATGTTTTGAAGTGTAATACTATGTCTTTCGGGCGGAAGCGTGATATGCTTTATTTTTCTTACACACTTAAAGGTTTGATAGTTACTAGATGTGATAAAATAAGGTACCTTGGAGTTACTATTGATACTAAGCTTTTTTTTGATCAGCATGTGGAAAATATCGTTAATAAAGCATATAAAGCTCTGGGTTTTATTTTAAGGTCTTGTTGCAAATTCCGTCAGTTAAAATCAATGAAAATATTGTTTTGTTCTCTAGTTCGTAGCCATCTCGAATATGCGTGTCAAGAATGGAATCCTCAATATAAAATATATATTAACGAAATCAAAGCGATTCAAAAAAATTCATTCGATATGTAGGTTCTAAATTTCATATATCAAAGGAGGCTATGAATTGCAGTGTTCTCATCTTCATCTCCCGCTGCAAACTAGGCGCTATACAGCTGACCCGGTCTTACTAAGTAAAATTGCTCAACATTGTTTAGACTGCCCTGACTTATTAAAAAGATTACATATCTCAGTTCCCTCTCGTTCACTGCGTTATTACAATCCCTTACATGTTTCTTTATGTAGATCAAATTACAGGCAAAACTCATTCTTCGTAAGAGTGTGTAACTCATTTAATAAATTTTCTAAGGACTGTGATAAGGCTGACCTCTTTTCTACTAGTGGTACTACTATCTGCAAATTGATAACATCTAAATTCAGTAGCAATTTACTCTTGAACTCTTAAATCTAATCAACATCCATGTATAAATTATATCTACTTATATATGTTGCATGTATTTACGCAAATTGACTACTCATCTGTGAAAACTTCTAATAGGCTTACTTTGTAAATTACAGTATATACCATATAGTATTAATTAAAAGCTGTAAGTTTTCCTGTCATAAATAAATAAAATAAATATAAAATAGTTTCCATAGTTCTCCTCTGTCAAATTTTAACTCCACATGGTCCTAAGCATACAATAAACCTAGTTACAGCTGCAGTGCTCACTACATTAAATATAGTTTTGTATATATATAGTGCTGAATCTATGTCCTACAAAAATTCTGAATTGATCAGATTTTGCTACAAAGAGATCTGCCAAGTCAAATTTACAAAAAGATGGTGTTACCTTTCACATATAAGCAAAAGAACAATGATTTCTACCAAGGATGATGAATATGGGAGGCTATTTAAATTAAAAAACATCCTAATTTCAATAGAGAAGGAGGCTGGGTACTACCACCTGCTTGGGACCCAATAATCCATAAAATTAAAACTAAACCCAACCATACCACTGCAAGACTAAGAAAGTTCATTTTGCATAGATAGGACCATAAACAATAATTAAAAAGCTGAAGGTACTCGAAGTTAACACTGATTTCGGGACGTCAGTCACTGCAGTCCCCCATGACCATGGATAGATGAAACGTCGGGAATTAAAAATAATCAAAATTAAACGCGATAAAATCCTATATTATCGAAGCGAAATATACCTAATTTAGTAAGATATTGCACCACCTTTAGGATTTTTTACAATGTCAACATCTTGATCTGCATCATCCCATCCAGACACAAACATCCCAGAAGTTTCTGGATTTCTTTTACAACGCTCAATCTCGTCGGTAATTTCTTGATAATTGCGAGCATATATCTCTTCGTTTTCGGAATCAGACATTTTCGGAAGTTGTTTCCTATAATGACAACAACTACAATCCGTGCAATAATTTGAAAGCAAAGTTAAAACAAAGTTATTTCACTTTGAACAAAATTTATCATATTAATTAGTGAAGAACTAATACCTATAGTAGTAGTGATTATTATACTCCTGCTATTCTGTGGTAATAATCAGGGAATGCAAATTAGCACCTTCAAAGCTTCAAATAAACAGACAGAACACTAAGTCTTGTAAAAAACATCATATAGCATGAAATTTGATAAACAAATGTTTTGGTTTTTTGGCATAGATAAATAAACACAGAACACTAATACCCTTAGGCGGGAAGAATGTCAACTTCAAACAAAATGGTACCCACAATGCACGCCATCTCTGTCGTGCCCCACTAAAATTTTTTTGCGCGGGAGTTTTGAAACGTGATTTATTTTAGTTGGCGTCTTGGTTGTTTCGTTTCAAAAATGGCTACCATATAGATAGATATAGCTTGTAGTTTTTCGTTTTAATGATATATATTGCTAAATTAAAACGAAAACAAAAGCACAAAGTTATTTGTAAATTATGGTACTTTACATTCATAAACCACTTTTGAAACGATTAGCAATCATTTTAATATAAAAAGGAACTATTTTTCAAATAAAAGTGGTTTTTAAAATACATAATTTTTATTTACATTACATACTTGTCCACATTGGTACATAGAAAAACCGTTGGTACATTGATGGACGTAAGTGACGTAGTAATTAACTAATTTTTAAATTTATGCATGTAAACAGTTCTCAACAGCTCTTAACTAAATATCGATTTAATAGTTAAGTAGTTATGTAAAGCAGAATAGTCTATTTTTAAGAGGTAGGCGTGTTTTAGCGAAGTATAGGAAATAAGCATTCTCGTAACTTCGCTAAAACACGTATCAATGATTATTAGTTTATAGCAAATTAGTTCATCACTTCACCTATTAAGTAAACGGCATATGTAACATGACATTTAAGCAAAATGGAAAGTAAAGGTACATTGGTTTTATATAAAAATATTAGACAATCTAATATAAACACTTTTTTCTAACAAGAAAACATTATTTACCTTCACATTCTACAAACAAGGCAATAGCTTTGCAATATTATGTCTAAACTCCAATAACCTGATTATATTACATTTGTAGAAATTATTTTGCTGCTTCACATGCTTCTCTATAAGTTGCGCATTCCTGACCGTTGGCAGTTTTAAGGTCTTTATATCCTGTAGGACCCCAAACATGGTGCAGCAGCAATCGTAAACAGAAACATTCAAAATTAGTTACATGGACGGTATACACACGACCAAGGGCATCTTATGACTTGACTTCTCATGACCGGGCCAATTTGCAGCAGGCGCGCCTTGAATACGGCGTTTCCACTCCTTCCTAGATGTGTTCCAAATATAATAGCGGGGGACTTCAGGACATATAACAACGTTTTTGCAAAGGGGTCGGTTTGAAAAAGTTGAAAGAAGGCTGTTAGTGTAGTTTTTAGCGGTGATGCAATTCTTTCTTGGAAATTTCTTTCGGTGAAATATACACGCTCTCCGTTTTCTAAGTGCACAGCAAGGTGAGTAACTGTTGGGTGGCTTTCGTGTAAAGGGAAGCCAAGGAGACGCCACGCTGCCTCGTTACTGCTGATATAACGCCCTGCTTGAAAGGTCTGTACTTCATTAACGGGATTTGCCTCACCATCACTCCTGAGATTAAATATTGCTTGGTCGCTTCCTTTATTTATGTACTTACAGATATACTTGATTGCGCGGACAGAGCTACATGCTTCTACATTAATGTGGGCATTAAACATTATACGGGACAATCCAGCAGTTATCTAAGGTTTCGAACGCTCCAGAGCGAGATTTGATTGTAACTTTCCTGCCACCATCTTCGGGATCTCTGCGTCTATATAAAGGGTAGCCATTGTCATTGTGCACTGTTTCTTTTAATGGCTGTTTAGGGAATTTCTTTGTACATTTTCCTTCTTTCATACATGGCGATATTGAATTTCATGCTCGACATGGACCGTGAATCATATTTCGGACGATGGTATCATACATTTCTTTATCTTGCTCAGGATCCGGAATCTCGGCGCTTATTATGTCGTCTATTTGGCTGGGCTGCAACTTCTCTTTAAGCCATATTAGCATGTGGGCATGCGGTATCATCTTTTTTGCCATTCAATTGAATACATGAAGCACTGCACCTCTCCGAAAATTTTCCCTTTGTTAATTACATACATTAAGTTTTGTACTTTTAATCTTAATACTCTAGCAACTAAATCGTGTCTGTCAGTACTTTTTTGGCCCGGCATTAGCTCCTCGGTTATTTCTTTCCATATGGGATTGCAAGTAAAAGTAACAAAAAGATCAGGTCTTCCGTAAGTTCGTACATAGGTAAATGCGTCTTGTATGTACTCACGTAGGTAGCGGGGACTGTTAACGAATGATGAGGGCAGAATTACCATTTTACCTAAATCTCTGAGGTTTACATTGGCGTCGCTAGAAACTGCATCTTGTATATAATTCTCAACGCGCAGCTTTTTTTTGATTTAAAGATATATAACGGAGACGTTCACTTTCTACCTTCACATACATGTCTACCAAAAATTGATGAAATAATTGTCTACACCGGGCTAAGAGGTTAAAATCATTTTCTCGCAACATCATATGATACCCATAAAATCCATACATGATACTTTTTTGTTCGGAGTAGGATCCTTTGTGACCGGGTTAATGAGTGGAATTTGAAAATGATAACCCTCTTGTCCTTTGCAATAAATCAATGGGTATTGCAGAGCGTCATAAAACTTGTGTGTATCGGCTACCCGTTGCAACGTATCATCACGTGCTCGCAAGACAATGTCTCGTGAAGAAAATTGATCACCACTAATTACGGCTGCTATTTCGTTCATCAAAGGTGCATTGTAGCGCCTTACATGCTCTCCTCGATGGGTCCTCTTCAGGTAGGTTTTCTAAAGCGGTTTTAAATGTTTTGACTACAATGTTACGTTCATGCAAGAATCTTTGAATTTTGAACACTGTGTCTCTCTCAAATCCCTGGATAAGTTGGCAGTGACGGTCTCCCTCAATTTCTTCGTCATCCATAAAATATACTTATAATAATTTATGCTGTTCGTTTTCAGCTGGAAAAAGTGAACCTATTCTATGATAAATTTGCCCTTACACCGTAAATGTAGGCGAAAATCCCGGCATTATTATTTTCCGGTCAACTCCGAAGGACGTCATTTGAAAGCATGAGTTATATTTCCGGATTCTGTTTAAAAAGCGCCGTGACTCATTAGTATCATATAAAAAGAGAGTTTTCAAAGGTTCTTCTGGTTCCCCAAGTAACGGAAGAGACACTTTGCCATTGGAACAGCACATGCCTGCGGTCTCATCTTTCCATTTTAAAGAGCTGCAAAATCGACACGCCTTATCCATCAGTCCGATAACAACTAACCTGTGATTTTTATAATCAATCAACGGATCATAATTGAATGCTGCGTCATTAAAAACCGACCAATTGTTTCTTTGAAAATTTTATCGACGTTCAGCTTGGAGCTGTGCATTTGCATCTCTTCGCGCCTGTGTCTGTTCTGGTGTTTCAGATGCCCTTATAGTAGATTGACGTTCAGCTTGCTCAATGAGTCTGTGTTGAGTTTCATCAGGTGTTTCCGCGCCTCTTAAGGCGGCCTAACGTTCCGCTTGTTCGAATAGCCTTTGCTGACTTTGAGCAGGTGTTTCAGTAGCTCTTAAAGTAGCTTGACGCTCTGCCTGTTCAAGACGCCTTTGCTGACTTTAAGCAGGTGTTTCAGTAGCTCTAAAAGTAGCTTGACGCTCTGTCTGTTCAAGATGCCTTCGCTGACTTTGAGAAGGTGTTTTGGAAGCTCTTAAAGCAGCCTGACGCTCTGCCTGTTCAAGACGCCTTTGCTGACGTTGAGAAGGTGTATCAGATGCTCTAAAAGCAGCCTGACGCTCCACTTGTTCTTGCCTTCTCAGTTCAGCATCTTCTAAAGAATCTAGCGATCGAGCTAATCTTTTCGCTTGTCTTTGAGAAGTTACTCTTGAAAGGCTGGACTTATGTTTGCGAGGCATTATGAAGTAACAAAAAACCTATTTATAAAAAACGTTAAAATACCTAAAATGAGTTAATTTTCCCTTTAAATATTTTTTTAAAAGCAAATCCAAAATATCTAAAAGGAATAAATATTCCTTTTAAATATTTTTTAAAATCAAAACAACAAAACTAATTCAAGACACAACACGAATCCGAAAACGATAGCCAAAAAAAATCGAATCAACTTAAAGCAAATCACAAAACAAATCGCAGAAAACCGAAATCGAAGACAGTAGTCAATATAAATATAACCAACTAAAAAAGAAGTAAGTGTATAGGTACAGTAAAATGACAGCCAATATAAATCCATTCAACCTTAACCAAATCATAAAGTAAATAACAAACAACCGAAATCGAAAGCACGTAGTCGAATAAGCTACGAAATAGAAACAATTTAAGCGTATAGGTACCGTATGCACTATAAGTTGACGCGCGGCTCAACGGTGGGAATTAAGTACATGTCAGGAAACGTTTCCTTAACGCGTTTTAAAAACCTAGTAACGACATCTAGCGGAATCAATTTAAACTATGTATACGTTAGTTAATACGAACTCTCAAAAATATTTTTCTTATAATTTTGCACAATTTTTCTTATTGTAATACCGATTCATTCATAACCACATATAAGAACTGTATTCATTTCCGTTCAATAAATATTACTAAGGCTTATTAATAAGGCTTACTAAGAACTGTTTCTGCCACAGTTAGTAATAGTTAAGGGGGAAAGCGTGACAGGTGGTGATAGTATTTCTGATCCATACTTATAATCACGACTGTAACCCTTGCGGGGTAGGCAGAGCATCAACGGATTACTTAATATCGTCTGCGAGATTATCGCCTATTCTGTGAATTACAATGCACCAATAAAATTACGTTTGAAGAAAATCAGCGGCTGAATTTTATGTTTTTTATCGCTCTCTTCCCGGTCCTGCGTGGAAAACTACAGATCCATACATTTTTTATCTTAATTTTGGTAAAAAGCAGATATTCTGACCTTCTGTATTCGTCCATCGTACCGTCGTCCGTCTTGTAGAATCACGGTGGCGCCACCTAGCTGAATTTAATTTTGCAACATATTCTATTTTCCCACGAGAATGAGATGTTTTTCCGCGGAAAAAGTAATCTATGTCACTCTACAGCCACCGAACTATCCCCATACAAAAAAAATCATGCCATGCCGACGCTCTGTTGCGACGTTAAAGAAGGACAAACAAACAAACACACTTTCGCATTTATAATATTATTATTATATATTCTTTGTATATGGATATTTAAAGGATCCTATATTATATAGAACAGTATTTTATGCTCCAATGAAGCGTTAATTGTAATCTGCAAAAAATGTTTCCTGCTAGATACCAGATACGAATTATTGGTATTAAGCCATGACTGCCTCATTGGTCTAGTAATCGTAAACGCGTCTGCTAATCATGTGGTCCCGAGTTCAAATCCCAAATGAGCCGAACCAAAATCAGTTATTGGGTTTTTCTGTCCAGAAATTCGCATTAGTCACCGGTAGTCAGTAATTTGGCGATGTTTCACCCCCATACTTCAAAAATCAAATAAAGTCGGTTGTCCTGCGCCTGATCTCTCTCCAATCGTGGCTAATTACCGTCCTACCTGAGTATAAGAGCGAGGGAAAAGAAAATACACTTGTGCTTGGTGCTTACACATACACTTAAGCACTATAGTTCTGTCCTTCGCACGTGCCTATGGCCTAGTCTCTATTGAGTTTGTCCGCTTTGCACGAAATTCGGTCTGGAGAATATTACCAAATTATCATGGTGTACTAGGCCTACTAGGCCATGATAATTAGGTATTAAAGTAATATTCATGATAAGTTATTATCTTCATATATTAAAATGCGTTTCTTTTGATGAATATGAAAATATATTTTTACATTTTTATATTATCAAATGTTATAAATAAATAAAAAATATTTTAATCGTTGATACATAGTTTAACACTGTTAACTATAAGATTAATTTATTTCTCTATATAAGCATTTATAACATTCTACTACAAATACTTATTTCAAATATGTCAACACTGAAAGGCGGCCATGATTTGATTGCTAATATATATATTTTCAACATGGCGTCTAGCCTAGTTGTTCAGAATGTGTGTGTGTGAAAGTGCAGTGAAATTATGTTAGTATCAAAGTGTTTTAGTGATAATTTTAGTGTTTAAGTGAAAACAGTGTGCTTTAATGCAGCGATTATCTTATCATGGCTCTGGATTTACGCTTGCACTCTCCTGCAGGCGCGGAACCTGTTGTTTATACATGGCCCCTCACATCGGGTCATGGTTCGGTAATAAACTTTTATTTTGAATTCTAGTCTCACCACAAAATATATTACATCTAGTTGAAATTATTGTTAACTCTAATTATACAATTTGATAGAGTGGTAATTTATTATAAATGCTGGCGATTTGAACTGTTATGTGTTATCAATCCAAGAAAAATTCTGGTTTATGCGTTTTGTTTTTGGTACCTTCTTACATAAGTTATAAACCATTTACTACTTAATATAAGGTAATATTCATTAGACTTACAAGGGATCATGCTTAATGTTAGTTACGAGATCACGTAAAGAGTTTAGGGTATTGCTCACATCACATGGGTAGTGCAGAGTGTATTGACCTCGTGTTTTGTCAAGGTGTCGGCTTTTTTTTTAGATATGTACACACTGTTGCGCAGTCTTCAATCGTCATCTTTTATTTACATTTAATGCTTCCAAAGTATTCATTGTAGTATTAGCTGTGGAACTTTTTCAAATACATGTTTTAAGATAATATACTCTTTCCACTTTTGCAGAGAAATTGTGAATTAAACATACCATATTATAAAATCAAAATAGTTAAACCAACTTGTAATGTTTATTTATGTTTACTTCTATACATGGGTAATATCTTTTTTCTAAGAATGTAAAAGTAAGTAGTTTTTTTATATGCATTACATATTTTTATATTGTTTTCAAAAAACCGGTACAGAATTTCTGAAAATATCACATAAAATAGATACAAAAAAGTTACAGTAGAATTGAGTACCCCTCCTTTTGGAAGTTGGTTGAAAATTACAGATTACGTATATGAAAAATAATCTATATAAGTATTTAAAAATAAGAGGGACTATAAATAAAAGTTATATTTACTAACTACTTTGTACTAATTTGTTTTTATTTTGGACAAAATATTTTTCTTCTGTTCGAACCTTATTTCGAATTGTAACACTAAATGTAAAAAATTTAAGCAGGGAAACATTATTTATATTACCAATATTTAGAGCACCTGTGTGCCATGCTGCAACTATATTATGGTTGTGGCACAAATAAGTGGATTTTGCATGGTGAGTGTAGAGAACCAGAGGCCCATTTTACTGGAAATTAAGCATTTCATCTTAGTCCTCAGGGGTGGCAACACATCTGCATTTTGATTTGTAATAGTGGATTGACCTAGATGCTTATGGGCCACAGCATCTACTTACCATCAGGAAGTCTGTGTGCTTCTTTGTTACCCTTATTCTATAAAAAAATTCATATAAAATATAATTTAATATTGCCACTTTTAGTTCAGGTTTATAAAAAAAGTTAATTAAATTTGATGTGATATACTGCCATACTTCTGCCTAGGCACCTGTAACTCTACGGAACCAACTCACTGATCCAAATCACTGAAGTTATTTAAAAGATTGGTTCAGTATCTCATCAGATCTGGAACATAACTTTGCTCTGTGCTCATTTCACACGACGCGTCGCTTGTGAGGTGACAGGTGTGAGCGAGAGAGTGGTAAGTGAGCGGGCGAAATAATTACAATCTATACAAGTCAGAAAGAAATAACAAATGAGAAGTGTATTACTTAACTCATATGGATTTTCGCTATAGTTATTCATGCACATAGAAATGACCACTAGGGCGCTTACATATCAAATGCTATACTGTCGTTTTTGAATATAACATTTGCATTAACAAGTGGTCACTTTACTGCATTGGTCAAATTGTTTATGTTAATTCGTCCCTGTTTACCAAAACATACTTCGTTCTGTTTAGGGTTACTTTGCCTAGTGATTATTATGACTTACTTTTTTCCTTTTCATCTTAAATATTACACCAGCTGGTTATAAATTAAGGACTAGCCGCCAGCCCTAAGCCTGCATAAAGTATGAAGGAGGATTGATTTTGTATACAAACTTTTTACAGTACACAATAAATAACAATAAAAATAACTATATAATATATAAAAATAACCTAAGAACTTATTTCATTCAGCATTGTTGCCATGTAACATTTCACTGAATCAGTCAGTAATAAACGCCCGTGATGCAACTTAATGTATTAGTAAACATTTTGTATTTTATATCTTTTGAGTCGATGATCCAAATGAGCCAAATGGAACATATCAGTGTTTCGGAACATTTCCGTGATCGAGATGCAAATGTTCCAAACGCAAAAATGCTACACTTTGCCCACCTCCACTTCTGCCTAAAGACTTTCTTAACCTACTAATAATGTTGGGAAATTATTTGATATTTGTTATAAATATCATATTCTTGAGTTCCCCAAAATTTCATAATTATACTAGCTGGTACCCAGTGAGTTGCTGCTGCAGAAGAAATAATTGTGGAAATATTGTTTTAAATTTGGAAGAGTATTATTGTTTAATTTGGAATGATGATACATTCATTGAAATTGAATCATATATTATAAATTTTAAAACAAATTTTTCAATACAATACTTGCATCACCTACTGTAAGTTAATTATACCATCTACAATATTGATGCAAGTGCGAGCAATAAGTTGACAAAGCTTTACCGCAATCTGATTAACAGTATGGCTGTACATAAAATATTAACAAACAATAGTTTTAATATTCATATAGATACACTTATTTCATATTCTATCATTTCAATCTGTAGTTCTTATTTATAGCTCAGTATTTTCCATCCATCCATCCATTACAGCCTATTAAAGACCACTGCTGAATATAGGTCTCCCTCATAGATTAAGGATTGATATGGAGGGATTTTGTCATAGTTGTAATGCTTGACAAGCAGGTTAGCAACTGCAGTTTTTATTGTTTTGAGATGTTATCAGGAAGATACAACCAGTGCGTGTTGCCAGTGATGACTTACGGATCTGAGACGTGGTCCTTCACTGCTGGCCGTATGAGGACGCTCAAGGTCGCTCAGCGAGCTATGGAGAGGGCTATGCTCGGAGTTTCTCTGCGTGATAGACTCAGAAATGAGGATATCCGCAGTAAAACCAGAGTGACCGACATAGCCCAACGGATTAGTAAGCTGAAGTGGCCATATAGCTCGAAGAACCGATAACCGATGGGGAAGAAAGGTTCTCGAGTGGCAGCCTCGTACCGGTAGGCGTAGTGTAGGGCGACCCCCCACTAGATGGAGTGACGACCTGGTAAGATATGCAGGAAGTCGATGGGTGCAGGTGGCTCAGGACCGTGCTTTGTGGCATTACTTGGGGGAGGCCTATGTTCAGCAGTGGACTTGTGAAGGGCTGTAATGATGATGATGATGATGATGATCAGGAAGATGCTGCTGCCTTTCTGTTTTAGTTTCCTATGTTTAGTTTTTTACGTGGTAGAGCCATGCTGCAGTTATATTAGTAGTATAGTTGTAGCACGAATGGATTGGCTCAACCGGGGAAAGACAAATAGTCAAATAGCAGCTTAATGCTGCTGTGTTTCGTATGGTGAGTGTAGAGAACCGGAGACCCTTTTGTCTTCATGGGTGACAACGCATCTGTATTTTGATTCATAATCGAGGATAGATGTAGATGTCTATAGGCACAGCAACCACTTACCATCAGGTGGACTGTGTGCTCGTTTGTCATCCTATCCTATAAAAAAAAATCCCTCTGTTGCCTTTTAAGATATCCATGGGGCGATATGAGGTAGAGTTAATTCATACGCTGTAACTACACTGGTTTAGTGTTGGCATCTCAACCTAAAAAAGTATATGCAGTGTATTGTGTATGATACGAAAAGAAATATATTAATGAGTACAAACCAAATACATTTTTATATTTGGATATGAAATATTGGAGACAATGCTGTACTGAAAAACTACTGACTGCTTTCCCTACTGAGCCATGTCTACATGCTGTTTTCGAGAGTCATTACAAATTGTCTTGCACACAGAATCAACCACTTCCCCATATTCTCCAATGGGTGTTGTAAGATGGGACAGAAGGAAACTAAAACAGGAAACGGGCAGTAGCAGCTTGATAACAACTCAAACTATAACATCCCTAGTGTCTATAAGAAAAGTTATAATATATAGAAAATATAGATAAGATATAAAATAAAAAGTTATAAAGTAATTACTTCTGTTAAAAAACCCCTTGTGTGGATATTTTTTGGAAAAATCACACCTAATGTCACATATACATGGTAAGTGTTGTTAAAGTGAAAATAGTGGTACATTATCTCAAGAACCAAATGTGTGTGCCAAATTTTAGCCTGATAGCTTCAGTGGATGAAATATTGACTGCAAAATTCCAGGACATACATACAAGTGAATTTAAATAAAAGCTTTTAATATGTAAAATGTATTTCAAACAAATTACTTGCACCTATTGTTCTCTGTTTTAATACTTAGATAAATGTTATAGTTTTATCGCATAAGCCCTTCAACTTGATACATTTTTAATTTTTAGTCCACAGTGTGTTTGTGTAACTCTGGTAGTATAATTTTCCACATGCAAACATTAAGTTAAAAAATACACAATACTCTGCAACTGCAGTTTTTTTACCTGAAATAAAACGTTAACAATTCATAAAGACATCCAATTCTACTTAATATCAATGCGATTACACAATATAATAAGACCAAACACCAAATCTTAAAGCATAGCCAACCGCAATTCCCACCAGAGAAATACAATAAATACACTGTTGATAAAAAAAAATCAAAGTGACATCCCTGAAGATTTTTTTTGTGACAAACAAGCACACTGTCCACCTAATGGTAAGTGGTTGCTGTGGCCCATAACATCTACATCTTTACTCAAATACGAATCAAAATGCAGATGTGTCACCTGTGAGGATTAAGATGGGATGCCTTGTTTCCAGCATAATGGGTCTCCGGTTCTCTACACTCACCATACGAAACAAAGTAGTGTAGTAAAATTTTGTGAGAGCATAGTCCTTCCCCGGTTGAGCCGACCCATTCAAGCTACAGCTATACTACTAATAATACTGCAGCATGGTTCTACCACCTATTGCATTGCCAAAATTCTGATATATCTAAATTAGTTTCTTATGTGCCATATATATCTAAATTAGTTTCTTAGTGCACCTGATGGTAAGTGAATGTTATGGCTCATAGACATCTACATCTATCCTTGATTAAGAGTCAAAATGTAAACATTTTTCCACCCCTGAGTACTGAGATGGAATGTCTTGCTTCCAGTAAAAAATCTGGTTTTTTATACTCACCATACAAAACACATTACATATTCCACTGTTGAATTTTATAATCAATAATTTTTTTTTATAAGTGTAACCTTTTGAAAAAAAAAAATGTGTTAAAAATAATGAAATCTCTCCTAACAATAAAGGGCTTAAAATATGGTTTCTTTCTGCATACAAATAAAATATTGTGTAGGTATATTGAATTTTTTTTCAGTTAGATTTTTAACATAAAATGTATGTTCATTTGTTTGTTTCAGGACAAACACGATGGAGCTTTAGAAATAGTAGAGACAATAAGGTAAGATTGTTAGAAGTAACAAATGTATAATACATCTCATCTGCGTATTTTATGGGAGTGCTCTGAGGTGTTCGGATTAATCCCAGCCGGCAAATTTCATGAACGCACTACGCGGCAAACCTCCCGATACCATCCATACCATCTGGATGCTTGGCCGTCCACCACCGCACGTTTCAAAAGGAGTTTTCTTCCGTGTATGATGTCTGTGGAATATTTTACCATCGGCGATTTTTCCGGACCGATACGACCTGGGGACTTTCAAGAAAAGAGCTTACTCCTTTCTAATGGGCCGGTAACGCACTTCAATTCCCTTGGTGTTGCGGATGTTCATGGGCGGCGGTAGTCACTTAACATCAGGTGAGCCGTATGCTCATTTGCCCCTCTCCTATAAAAAAAAATTATGATTCATTTTACACTACATCTTTTTACTTATTAAACAAACAACTTTGAATCCTATGTCAAGTAATGCCAGTTATTATATTTATGTAAAGAAAAAAAATTGTGAAACTTCGCCGCTGCATTAGATGTTTCAAGGTACTGGACTGGGAAGTATATGGTATCAACATCAATGGTAAGTACATCACACCTTCGATTTGGCGACGATAGAGTCAGTTTGGCAAAATCGCTAGAGAATCTCAGCACCTTGTGCAATGATCTCACTAGTGTCTAACAATGCATAGGTATTATAATGGGCACCTATTCTGGTAGTTTATTAGACCTAAGGCAAATTGTCCCACTAGGTATGTCCTGATTCGACCTGAAGGTCAATACGACTAGGTTGGATAGCGTTTGGTAGAACTCAAAACTTGAAAACAAGAGTATGCAACCAGTGAGTGTTGCCAGTGACGACAAATGGATCTGAAAAGTGGTCCTTCACTGATGATCGTATACGAAGAAGGTCGCTCAGTGAGCCATTGAGAGGGCTTTGCTAGGGGTTTCTCTGCGCGGTAGACTTAGAAATGAGGATATCCACTATAGAACTAAAGTAACCGCCATAGCTCAATGGATCAGTAAGCCGAAGTGGTAATATATCGGCTATTTAGCTTGAAGAACTGACAACCGACAGAGAAACCCCGATCATAGCCCTCTTCATAGCTCGCTGAGTGACCTTGAGCTTTCTCATACGGCCAGCAGTGAAGAACGACGTCTCAGATCCATAGATCATCACTGGCAACACATACTGGTTGTACAATATCGTTTTCAAGTTTTGAGGTATACTTGACAAGAAGATGTGTCGTAATTTCCTCTCCGCTGCCCGGCCGAGTTGAATTCGTCGATTGACCTCTTGGTCGAAGTTGGACTAACCTAGTCGGACTATTTGTCCCATATAAACGTACTTGTCAACAACTTCGAACAACTCTCAACAGCTACCGTCATAGGTTTGACATGGACGTTACACATGATCTTTGTTTTAACCATCTTGGGAGATATAATAGAGGTCATTGAGCATTATGCTTAGATCCTCCAGCGATTCTGCCATAAGAACTTTATCGTCGGCAATTCAAGGGTGAGTGATGTACTCGCCATTGATGTTAATACCGTATCTTTTCCAGTTCATTAGCTTGAAAACGTCTTCTAATACAGCGGTGTAGAGTTTCGGGGATATAACGTCATCTTGTCTTACACTTTTCTGCAGTTGGATAGGTTTCGTACTCTGGTTCTGTACTCGCATAGCCGTCATAGCCCTACTGTAAACACTTTAGCACTTCGATATACCGACAGTCAACTTAGCCCAAATTTCGACGTAATCAAAGGCTCTCTCATAGACAAAGTGGGAGATTGCACTCTTCGGTCTTCTGTACAATTTGTCAAAGGGTATGTATGTGATCTATAGTGCTAAAGCCTTTTCGGAAACTGGCTTGTTCGGGAGGCCAAAAGTCGTCTAGTCTGTGTGCGAGACGATTCGTAATGATTCTAGAAAACAGAACATCAAACACGGAAGAGAAAGTAAAGTTACAGCCTATATACGTCCCACTGCTGGGCACAGGACTCCCATCATTTCTGAGAGAAATTTAGGAGAAGGGAGAAGAGAAATTTGTCTATATTTCTTCAAGAGCACGTTGTCGCCTTTCTTGAAGAACAAGATCACCGCACTGCTGCTACATGCCTCCAGAATAGTGTCACAATGGAGGACGGAAATAAAAGAGCTTCTGAAGGACTTCAAGTACCGGTTTTCCACACGCTTTCAAAAGCTCCGATGTAATTCCATCTTCGCCCGGGGACTTGCCGTTTTTACTTGCTGGAGCGCCATTCTAATCTAGTTCAGACGAAAGTATATCTGGAATATCATCGGAATTGTGTCGGATAAGACTTGCTCACGGATCGTTACTCACACTTGCGTGTACGCATAGAACTTCTCAATCTCACTTAAAATTTCAGGTGTCACGGAAACGATGCTGTTGCATTCGGTTTTCAGCTTCGACAGTTGGCTCTTTCTGGCTGACAGATCTCCGGCAAAGACTTTGGAGCCCTGGTTTTGCTTGATCACTTCTTCAATACGAGCTGTATTGAAGAAGCAATCTAATTTGATTTTTAATTTCGACTCATTTGAATCGTCTTAATATTTAAGTTTCTCTATATTATCTGAAGTATAAAAATATGGAACATAAGTTGTTTTTAAATTAGTTGTTAAAAAAATTGTTGTAATGTAATGAAAGAAACATGTGTCAGTATTTTAATTACCTTAACCCTGTAATAAATTTGTTTAGAAAAAAAAGTTGCGTAAGTCCCGCCGCATGCATTTGGAGATCTGTCTGTTCAGGTGCCTGTATGCTGTCAAATTTGCTGAAGACTAAAGCTTCATTTCCCGTCTAACAGCCATGAGATTAAGACTGTGATCGAAGAGTTTTTGTGTATTTTTGCGGCGGTCGACACCCACCATTAGCCGCTGCTCGTTTGCTTACCCTATTCTATAAAAAAGTCTGATGACATTCAGGTCGAGCAATAATAGGCCGAGAACTGCGCGCCGTCAAGATGGCGTTTGCTGGGACGAATCTCAGTTTGTCCCAACCGAATATTGTGCGAAAACTGACGTTTTCGGTGTTTTATCGAGAAGTCAAGGCAGTTCAACCACGATTGCCTCTTCCAGATTGATCAGAATAGGCTTTATAAATATGACTAGAGCGACTAATGGTAAGTGAAACTGGCCAAGAAGCGAATGAAGCATTTTAAGCGTGAAAACCACCCGACACTTCGACATAAATCGGGTGACTTTGCGCGCTCAGAAATGTCGGGGCGGCATTGGTGGAACCAATGAACTACTCATTGTCGCAGTCATTGGCAAGATGTTTGAACGTCTCCGTTGTTTTCCGCCGCCTGAACATACTAAAGAGCATTTGGCTCGTTACCTCACACATGGCTTACAGAGGGTCCTCGAACTGTTCAAGGTCGACTGTACAGTAAGAAACTTCCTCAGCCAGTGTATGTGTAGAATACGATCCTTTGCCGTTTGCACTACTACTTACTCGGAAAGCAGCATAAGGATAAAGAGCATTTGGCTCGTTGCCTCACACATGGCTTACAGAGGGTCCTCGAACTGTTCAAGGTCGACTGTACAGTAAGAAACTTCCTCAGCCAGTGTATGTGTAGAATACGATCCTTTGCCGTTTGCACTACTACTTACTCGGAAAGCAGCATAAGGATAAAGAGCATTTGGCTCGTTGCCTCACACATGGCTTACAGAGGGTCCTCGAACTGTTCAAGGTCGACTGTACAGTAAGAAACTTCCTCAGCCAGTGTATGTGTAGAATACGATCCTTTGCCGTTTGCACTACTACTTACTCGGAAAGCAGCATAAGGATAAAGAGCATTTGGCTCGTTGCCTCACACATGGCTTACAGAGGGTCCTCGAACTGTTCAAGGTCGACTGTACAGTAAGAAACTTCCTCGGCCAGTGTATGTGTAGAATACGATCCTTTGCCGTTTGCACTACTACTTACTCGGAAAGCAGCATAAGGATAAAGAGCATTTGGCTCGTTGCCTCACACATGGCTTACAGAGGGTCCTCGAACTGTTCAAGGTCGACTGTACAGTAAGAAACTTCCCCAGCCAGTGTATGTGTAGAATACGATCCTTTGCCGTTTGCACTACTACTTACTCGGAAAGCAGCATAAGGATAAAGAGCATTTGGCTCGTTGCCTCACACATGGCTTACAGAGGGTCCTCGAACTGTTCAAGGTCGACTGTACAGTAAGAAACTTCCTCAGCCAGTGTATGTGTAGAATACGATCCTTTGCCGTTTGCACTACTACTTACTCGGAAAGCAGCATAAGGATAAAGAGCATTTGGCTCGTTGCCTCACACATGGCTTACAGAGGGTCCTCGAACTGTTCAAGGTCGACTGTACAGTAAGAAACTTCCTCGGCCAGTGTATGTGTAGAATACGATCCTTTGCCGTTTGCACTACTACTTACTCGGAAAGCAGCATAAGGATAAAACGAGGTATTTTCCTGTATTTTGTCTTTTAGGTGATTATTCGGGTCCAATCTGATTATCTTCTCTCTGATTTCTCTCAGTACGTTACCGGAGTCGAAAAACCCTTTTCTACATATATCTTAAGTCCAGCCCATCGAATTCAATTAAATTCTAAAAAATGGCTATGATAACTTCCATATCCAAAGAGAGTCCCTTTCTGAGGCATAAACTTAATTATGCCCATCACCCTTAGAACCCATTATGAGGCCTCATTATCTATACTTGGTTAGGTCATAAAACATAGGTTTTTTTCTCTCTTTATTTATTTAGGGGCTTTTATCTCGAACGGATATTTCAGCCTTATCATGGCCTAATTTTAATGACACAGTAAAAAAAACCTTATAGGGAAGAACTAGAATAATTCCTGTTTCAACCATATAAACAAAATATTTTGCAGGGCAGGACAGGACCACTGTCAGATACAGTGGTTCTGCCCGGGCTCCGTCACGCGTTATTTATTGGCGTTCAATCCATCTAGCTTCTATTTTACGTAATATTGTCGCCAAAAGAGTAAGTGTTAACCAATT